GTCCTGAATATTCATTGGAAGGACTGATGCTGAAGCTGAAGCTCCAATACTTTGGCCACCTGATGTGAAGATCTGACTCACTGGAAAAGACCCTGATGCTGGGAAAGATTGAAAGCAGGAGGAGGAAATGACAGAGGATGAGAGGGTTAGAGGCATCACTGACTCAATGGACATGAGTTTAAGCTAGTTCCTGGAGTTGGTGAAGGACAGGGAAGCCTGGCATGCTGCAGTCCATGGGGTCGCAAAGAGTCGGACACCACTGAGCAACCGAACTGAACTGAATCTAAATGTCCAACAACAAGGGACTGTATAAATAAATCACATGTGTGTGTGCTAAGTCACTTAGTCATGTCTGACTCTTTGTGACCCTATGTACTGTAGGCTCCTCTGTCCATGGGACTCACAGCATGTCCACCAAATCCACAAATTGAAGGACTGTACAGTCACTAACAATGGTGTTTTGAAGATAAGGAAATCACACCCAGGCCCACGCATGTTCAAGATAAAATTATGTCGAGAAGATGGGTGTCCTCCAACACTCTCCTCCTCAGTAGGGAACCTTAGAGTCTCAGAACTGGAGAGGGGAAGAGGCCACAGTAGCTGATCAGATACATGGGACCTCAGGCCTCTCCCCCTGCCCCTAGCCCACGCATCCTTGGTGAGTCATTCCCCCACCAAAGGAAGTGGTACCCCCCCTGTCTTCTGTTGCGGAGCTCAGCGCCTCCTCACTTAGCACAGAAGTCTCCAAATGAAGCTGGAGCCCAGCCTCAAAAGGGAGAAATGTAACCTCAAATCAGAGGGAAAAGTTCAGGCCTGGTCTCTTGGTCCCCTTTGATGGTTTCCGCCCAAAGCCATGATGGTGGGGAGGGAAGAGCAAGGCATGACAAGGAGTATATGTGGCCATTACTTTTCCTTTTAACAACCCCCAAAAAGACAGGATGTGGGTCTTAATAAAACCTGGTCCAGAACTAGATTTTCCTTCTTAAAACAACATCCTGTGACTTCTTTGCAAAGGGGGTTGGATGTATAGGTCTGGGAGGCAATGAGAGGGCAGGACGGGAAACAGCAGCTCAGAGCAGTCCTCTGGGTGCTCCCTGCGCCTGGTCCATTATCAAAGAACTCTAGACCCCAGAAGAAGCCGATCCTGACTTCTTCTAGGGCAAGGCATTCTGACAGTCTCATTTGGCTGTTTGGATGGGGGGTGGACAGGGGGGCCCAGCTTAGACTACCTAGTAGAGAACACTTCTCCACAAATATCAGTTAAATGTAAGTAAAGCAAAATGAAGGAGAAGATAGGTTCAGGAAGGCAGGAGGACCGTGGAGGTTCTTACTGTTGGTCCACTTATTCTATTAACATTGACCAAACACACACCCTACTCACCAGGCCTATGCTGAGGATGCAGACAGGTGTTTCTTGCAATACACTTAGGTGCTGCTGGGAGCAGAGCCCCTGCAAGAAAGCTGTGTCTACTGGGGAAAGGAGTGGTAATCCCTCATTCTCTGGGATTCTCTGCCCCTCTGACCTGGTGCTGAGTCAGGTTCCATGAGCTCTAAGGCCCTGTCAGCTTGGGCACCTGGTACTCTTATCCTCAGCTTTCTCTCCGACAGCCCCCTGTTCTGAGGCTCAGTCACAAACTTCCTGCAAAACTGTGATCTTCTTTATCACTGTGTGTATATTAACAGAAATCAAATGATCCCTTCCCTCCCCTGTGGCTAGCCCACCCCAGCCTCACTCGCACAGAAGCCTGCATCTGAATGTTAGGCTGCAGATAGAAGTAGGCTATAAATAAATACTGCATGGTCACACTGACAAGATTGCAAATATAGGCCTACTGAGGGACAGGACTGGTCAACTCTACCACTTCTAACCACTGTGTCTGCTTTTTATAAGTTTTTGTCTCCTCTCTTACTATCAGGCTACCAGCTATCTGTGAAACTGTCTCTAACAGGTCAGTATCAGTTCAGTCGCTCAGTCGTGTCTGACTCCTTGCAATCCCATGGACGGCAAGCACGCCAGCCTTCCCTGTCCATCACCAACTCCCGGAGCTTACTCAAACTCATGTCCATCAAGTCAGTGATACCATCCAATCATCTCATCCTTTGTCGTCCCTAACAGGTCTAACAGGTCAGGCCTACCAATATTTAATCAATCAGATTCCATGTAGTTCCCTACTATTTGCTATATCTATAGGTCAACAGGACCAAGTTTGTTATAACTGTGGGTAAAATCAGAGTTCATGGGCCCTAACTAAAAGCTATAGGGCATCTCGAATGAGTAAAGTATGCAAGCTTTAATGCAAACTCTTAGAACCTCAGAAACCATTTTTGTTTCCCTGCTCACAATTAAGTGCTGCCATGAACAGGGCTGGCTCTCACCTGTGTTTTGGATGGTTGAGGCTGCCAGGTAAGGGGAGTGCTGCGGTATTAGACACGATCCTTCTAGCTCAGGGGCTTCCTTCCACTACAGACCAGCCATTTGCAGGCAGCGTGTTCTCAAGTTGTGGTTAATGGCATTGTCTGGGCACAGGGTGGGGGAAAGCCAGGGGGAAGGGCAGGCTGAGCCCTGTCCCTAATACCCACACGGTGGTTGGATCACTGTGTCTTTTCCATTTTACAGATCTGTCTGTAAATTGGGGTTCAGAAGACGTCAGTGGCACCCATCTGATCTGATTTCTCTGGGAGGTAGGAAGGACTGAGTTTTTCCCTCCTTCACCAACATGGCCCAAAGATCCAGTGATGGGCGCCATGGCTAAAGGGGCAATGAAGCACCTGAGTGAGCGCAGACACTGGGGCCAACCTGTCCAGGTTTCACCCAGCTGTGTGACTTTGGGCAAGTGACTGAGGCTCTCTGTGCCTTAGCCCCCTCTTGTGAACAACAGGTATCACAATAGCATCCACTTCCTGGGTTTAAATGAGTCAATAGATGCATAGTCCTGAGGACAGCCCCTAGCACATCTTTAGTGCTGTGTTAGTTGTCCTTGTGGGCTGGGCCAGGCTGGGACAGCCTGTTAGGATTCAGGGCCCGGGGGCATCGGCCTTTCCCTCCCTACTCCGGCCCTCCCTAGGGAAGCGGCACCTCCACCCCAGGCCCCCGGAGCCAGCGCAGAGGAGAGGAGAGCTTGTGGGCGGCTCAGAGGTGGGGCGAGCAGAGTGTGGGCGGGATGCCTCACAGGAAGCTGCCACAGGTAAAATGCCGCCACCACACCCTGCGCCCTCCTGGGCCCCCTCCCCCCTTCCTGCCCAGATCCTGCCTTGGGGCTGCTCCTTGGGCCAGCTCTGTCCTAGGGAAGGTGGAACCGAAGGCTCTGGGCTGGACCAGATGTCCTGGAACTAAAATACAGCCCGGGTGTGCTTGGCCCACTATGGGCTGCTAAACACCTGGATTTTCTAGTGAAAGTCTGGGTCTCTCAGTCATGTCTGGCTCTTTTGTGACCTGGTGGCTGTAGCCCACCAGGCTCCAATGTCCATGGGATTCTCCAGGCAAGAACACTGGAGTAGGTTGGCATTTCCTTCTCCAGGGGATCTTCCCAACCCAGGGATCAAACCCGGGTCTCCTGCATTGCAGACAGATTCTTTACCATCTGAGCCACCAGGAAAGCCCTCTCTTTCCCCAGCTTTGCACTTCAAGTCAGAGCCATGATGTAGTGCCTCACTACATCATGACACAGACAGTGCCAGTCTGTGCATCCCCTGCTGACTGAAGCCCCCCACCCCTCACGTGGGTCCCAGATGCCAGCCTGGTGCTTGAAAGGGGCCACGGCAGGTCTGCGTTCCTTGGCTTCTCTGGGCTGGTCCCAGCCCCTCTCTGTAGAGATGGGGAGACGGAGGCCCAGAGAGACAGCCCTCTGCCTACTGTGCAGTTAGAGCAGGCGGGAAGCAAGCCACTCAGACTCTGGCCACGGGCCCCAAGGAGAGCGTGGCCCAGAAGGGAAGGAAGACCTGGCTCGTTAGCTCTCGTCCTCCTGGCTGGAGGCCCCAGGAAAGGGCCCAGGGAGGCCAGACTGTTGGCTGAGTCCGGGCCGACTGAGCAAAGAGCCAGTGTCCTCTGCAGGGCTGGAGGGGGTGCCCTCAGGACAGCTACGTTCCCCAGCTCTAACCAGAGAGGTCTCCCTTTTCCCTGGGAGCCACCGGGAACAGACAGTGCTTGAGAAGCAGGGGGGTGGGCTGAGAGACAGCGGGAAAAATGGGCGGTGGGGTCCAAATGGGGCTTGCAGGCTGTGTGGCCTGGGCCCAGCAATTTCGCCCCCACAAGCCAGCTGGGCGCTGGAATTTCATAAGGAAAAGACTTGATTTACACGTGCGCTGAATTTAAGAAAGCGAACAAGGAATTGCCCAGCCCTGTTGCCTCCCTGAAGGACCCCTAAGGTCTGCAAGGAAGAGGGGTTGGGTAAGGGCAAGAGATTCCCATTTGGTGCTCTAGCGAGATGCAGGGGATTTTGTTACACCCTTGTTTAGCCCTCCCATTCAGTTAGTATGTTTGTTAATTATCTCTACTGTATAGATGGGGGCAGGGGGCGCGGAAATGAAGTTCAGAGAGGTAAAATGACTTGTCCAGCTTCTAAATAGCAGAGCCAAGATCCAAATTCAAGTTTATCTGGTCCCCAGACCTGTGACCCTCCCTCCTTCACCTCACAAGTCCTCATCAAGTTCCCAGCCATATATCAGATGCTCCTAAAACGTTCCTGCTGTGGAGAGGGGGTCTCCCAGAGGAAAGATCTGCCCTGAGAGCCTAGAGAATATCCATCCCTTGCTTGTTGAAGTTTGCAGAGGAATCAGTACCCCAGATCGAGGACCCCCATTGTCCTCTTCCAACTCAGAAACAGCCCTGGTCACACCCCTCACCCCACAACGATAAAGGATCAAAAATCAGCCATCATTTTTATGAGAACCCCCCGCCCCTGGGAGCCACATCCCCAACCCACCACCCTGAGGAAATGTCAGCTGAGCTGGCCTCCCCAGGCACACTCCACTTGCTCAAACCCACAGCCGTCTTCACTCACCCAAAAGGCATCTTTGAACTGAAGCTGAGGCATCATCCTCAGGCAACCGCCACAGCAAAGCTCGCTCTCCTGCCGCGGTCAGGGCTGAACGAGGGCCAGGAGCCAGGCGCACCGTTCCAGTCCCGGCAGGGCTGGCCCGGGCCCCCCTCCCCGGCCGGCGGCGCCGTCTGCAGCGCCTCCGAAGGCTGCCGTAAGCCAGAGGCTGCCGAAGGGAGGAAAGGGGCTCAACCTGTTTTGTTTGGGGCTAGAATCAGCGGCAAAATGAGGAAGGACTGGAGCCCAGTGACGGGAGGAAGGGCCCCACGGCCCGGCCCGGCCTCTCGCTAGCCCCGCGGAGATGGAGGACTCAGTCCAAGCTGCAGGACCCAGAGCAAGGAGGGCAGCCCCGGGTCAGCAGAGGCAGTGGCCGGCGGGAGAGGCGGTCCCCGGGGCTCTGCAGGAAGGTTTGTGCAACCTCCCCGGGGCAGGCTCCAGGGCCGGCGCCCCACAGGAAGTGGAGCCGCCCGGCTCCCCTGTGCCGCCCCGCCTGCCACCTGCCACCCTGCTACGCGCCTCCACTTGCCCCCTTCCGATGTTCTAGCGGGGAATGTTCTCTGAGCCACACGCTCAGAGAGCCGGAGGCCCGCTGCCGTTGTGGGCAAGGAGGCGCGCAGGAACCCAGGTGCTGTCTCCCACCACCCCAGCCCCACCCCGGACCAGGTCCAGAGAGGCCAGACTCTCCACCCCTCACCGGCCAACCACTTCAGGAAGGGAGGGGCTCACCCAACCCAGAACATCATCAAACCCTGGGTACAGGATGCCCCAGTCCACGTCCTGCCCTCGAGGAGATCCCAGTCTGGGAGCAGACATAGCTGTGGGCTTGGGGTGTGGTGGGGCGGGGAGAGGGGGGCGGTGAGAGCACAGAGGTGGGGGGAGCAGGTAACTAGGCCAATGGAGAACAGCCTCACGGAGCCTGCCTCTTCTCCAGGTCTCCAGATTAGACCCTCTCTGGGGCAGGAAGTCCCCTCTGAAGATGGGGTCTTCAGGCTGGAAGAAAGTGGTTGGACCGAGAGAAACAGGATTACAGAGGATAAATAGGGGAGTTTGAAAATCCAAGTGGAGTCCCCTGTTTTTGTTCTGTCTGGGCCCTACCCTTCAGAAGGACTTTAATCCACCCTCCAGCTCTCTGAGCCTCGGTTTCCCCGTCAGCCACCCTTAATCTTTGGAAAAGACACAGTGTTGAGAACATTACTGGAATTTCTGCTTTTGGTGGGGCAGGTGCTGGCGGTCTCTCTCTGTTTCTGGTATAACCTTGGGAAGAGCCTTGGGCTGGAGCCCCAGACACCTGGGGAGGCAGGGCCTGCCCACTCAGCAGAAGATGCCGGCAGGGGGGGCCGGAGCCCAGGGTGGGTTGGCAAGAAGGGATGAATCAGGATCATCCACAAATCACCACCCTCGGCAATGCCTCTCTTACCACTGACTGTGGTGATCAGACAGATGAGAGCTGCCACAGGAGAGAGCAAAGTTCCCAAGTGCCAGCTATGTGAACCTGAGGTTAGCGATGGGGCACACCCACGCCTCTGAAATAACCACCCAAGAGAGAACTCGTTGGGGAGAGCTGCAGAGCAGTGGGGCTATGGTGGTAGCCCCCTACGGCTCCAGAATCCTTGTGCGTGTGTTAGTCACTCAGTTGTGTCCCAACCATGAACCATAGCCACTAGGCTCCTCTGTCCATGGGGATTCTCCAGGCAAGAGTACTGGAGTAGGTTGCCAAGCTCTCCTGCAGGGGATCTTCCTAACCAGGGGTTGAACCCAGATATCCCGCATTGCAGGCAGATTCTTTACCAGCTGAGCCACAAGGGAAGCCCAGAATCCTTAGGATCTAGCTATAAACATCTCCAGCATTGAAAGCATCCCAGGTGGATTTTCTGTTGCTTGTATCTGAAGGCAGCTAATGTCAATATCACCTTGAATGCCGAAGGCCAAAGGCTGAGGCTGAACCTCATCCCAGTGGCATCACTACCTCTGATAGCCCCGACTCAGCCTCCCTGGGCTCAGGTTTTCCATCTACCAAATGGAGTGGTGCTTCTAGTTCTGGAGACAGACAAGAAACTCTCAGTTAATGACAGGCTCTTACCCTCTTATTCCCCTGGAGGAGGAAATGGCAACCTGCTCCATTATCTTTGTCTGAAAAACCAATGGGCAGAGGAGCCTGGTGGGCTACTGTCCCTGGGGTCACAAAGAGTCAGACACGACTTAGCCCCTGAACACACACGCACCCTCTTATTAGCAGGAAACTTCAAGTCAGGCGCTCTCCCCTGCCTCTCCAGGGGCTCTTCCCATCACCTCTCATAAATTTCTGCTCAAAATAGCCCTCCTCCTTCCCCTCAAAGGTCCCCTCTCTACTCCTACCTCCACATCTTTGCCTCTTTCTGCTCCCCAGCCTCCCTCCTGACATGCCTTCCTTCATCTTCCTTCCTTGCACAAATCCTCCCATCCCCCAAGGCCCGCCCCAAAGCTCCCACACATGAGGCCTTCCTTTCCCAGCTGCCCTGGTCCAGCCAGGGCAACCCCAGATGGATGGCCATGCTGGTTGCGGGCTGAAGCAATTAGGGAAGGAAGTAATAGGAGGATTCTAAAGAGACTCTAAAGTGCTCTGTTGTAGAGAGGGCTTCCTCCTCTCTCCTCAACTCCCCACTGAGGCTTGGCCACCTCGGTGGCCAACAGCCGACTCTACTTTGGTTTACACTTGCTGAATACTGGGGGCATCGTTAAGCCTTTTATGCGGAACACTTCATTTAGTCCTCCCTTATCATCATCCTCACCTGACAGAGGAGCAAACCAAACATTAAAGAATTTATGTGACTTGGAACTTGCTTGGTGGTCCAGTGGTTAAGCCCCCTCCTTCCAATGCAGGAGGCGTGGATTTGATCCCCGGTTTGGAAACTAAGATCAGCAGCATGTGGCCAAAAAATCAAAAAAGAGAAAAGAAAGAGTTTATCTGATTCATTCAACACCTCACAGTCGGTAAGTGGAGTGTTGGGCTTCAGACTCAGGTTTTCTGATGCCAAAGCCCACATCTTGATCTCCCCTCATGTCTGTTACCAACAACCTCTCTTAACAGTGAGTTTCATCCTTCCTTTCTCCAATTCTGCCTCCAGAACCTCTCACTCTGATCCAAAGCTGGAAAATGTGAGTCCAGGGAGGTTGTTGGGGCTGATGGCGCTATTGGGTGAGAGTCTAGCCCTGGCGCATGATCGTCATCCAATTTCCCTTTGTTATTTGCACCACCTAAGGATGCTTTGGCCCCAAAGAACACAAGACCAGAGGGTCTGATGTGGAGGACATGTGTTATCATCCATACAAGGGGTCTGGAGGCAGCATGGCCTGGGTGAAATTCATTAGGGCCCCGGCTCAGTTTCTCTGTGATTCTTCTCATTTACTGTCTCCCTTAACTTACTGTGCCTCAAAGAGTTGGACACGACTGAGAGACTGAACTGAACTGCCTCCCTTCTCCAGCTCCAACGGCTCTGGTCTACAACTGCACACACAGCCACAGAAGAAGAAAAGGGATTCCTCTCCTTTTGTCTCATTTTCTTCAAAGTCCTCCTTGCCCAGGCTCCAGGGAGACCTCCCTTCATGTCTCATTGGCCAGAATGAGACAGAATCATGTGCTCAGGTATGGCCATCACCGGCCTCAGGAAGGGGATGTCTTGATTGGGGTGATGGGGATATTGAGAGCCAACCACCGTGACCACCACAGCCCTCTGTCGACCAGGTCCACGAACACTGCTGGGTACCAATCCCTGGCAGACCCTGCTGGGACTGGGGCTCAGAGAGGACATAGACCTGGTCTCTTCCCTGGAGGACCCACATATGGGTTCTAGAAAGATCTCTCCAGATGGGAAGTGGTTGGGAGTGAGACCAGAAGAGGGTGTTATAATAACTCTGAGAGAGGGCTGAGCCCTAGGTGAGCAGGCCAGGAGGAAGGGATGGGCTGGTGGGACATTAGGTAGACAGAGGAGAAGGATGGAGACATCTGAGTGCCTCTGAGAAGAAAAGGAACTGCTCTCAGGCCTCCCTTCATCAACAGTTTCCCTGGGGAAGGGAATCCAGTCCTAAAAATCATAATCACAGTTGCATCAAAACACCATTTGCCTTGAGGTCCAGGCAGCTATGCTTGGAGCCAGACTTTGCTCCTATTTAAAGAGGGAGTTCCCCCCATGAAGGCTGAGCCCCATCCTGTTTTGCATGACATTTGAATACATCTCCTTGAAGAACTCAAACTCAAGAAGTAATAGGTCCGTGGATTGAGAACAAAATGCAAAATCAGTTATTACAATATTGCCATAGCCAGCTCCTTGGAGGGGTTTGACTCCTGAAGCCAGTTTATCCATCCTCTTGAGCCAAATAAACACCAAAAACAATAATACGAGCCAGCATCAAGGAAGTATTACTGCCTGTGGGGCCCGCATGTATTTTACATGCTTGATCTCACTGATAGCTCTCTGCCAGGACCAGCTGTCATTTGCAGCATTGATGCAAAATGAAAGTGTGGGGCCTCTTATTAACAAGGCAAGGGAAAAATTGCCATTAAAGGTTCTAAAATATAGGCTTTCCCTTTCCCATGTTCTGTCAACTTGCTCCATTTGCTATTTAATGTTGCACCCCCTTGGGCATGGGAACACTTGAGGGACAAGTGCCCTCCATCTCTTGACTCACTTTTGGAGGAAACCCACCAGCTGCTGGGTTTCCCCTCCTGCCAGTCACCAGACTGCATTCTCCGGCTGGGGGCAGGGAAGTCGAGCCAGGCATCTCCCTTTCTCACAGTGGAGGGTGATCCTCAAGACTACTGCAAGCTCATACCAGGATGCCCTAGGTACGGGTCAGGAGTGAGCAAGAGACCTGAGTCACCTGCTGAATATGCCACGGTGCTATCAGCTCAGTGCGGGGACAACTACTGCCATGCCCCATCCTGAAATGCTGCCAGGCAACACTGAGTCTCCCCACACCTATGCCAGGGCCCTGCTGGGGGCAGAGGGTGGCAGTGGTGGCTAGGCAGGAGTGGGGAGGGGAAAGTTGAGAACCCATCAGGGGAGGTGGTAGAAGACAGGGCCTTGCATGAGCTGAGGCTCCAAGCCCTGAATCCATGCCTCATTGTCTCATCAGACTTCACTTAAAAACAGAAATCTGAAGATAGTATTATAAAGGGTTTTATAAAGGGTATTATAAAGGGTGTCAAGATATACAGCCTTGTAGGAAACCCTGCTCACTACCGCCTGTTCTCCACACATCAGAATGACATTTTCACACCAAATTAGATCATGTACTTTCCATTGTCACCTTAGCTATCATTTCTCAATGCTCTTTGAACAACAGTCATTGGCCTTACATGGGCTGTAGATACTGCATGATCTGACCCCAGCCTACCCTTCAACCTCATCTCAAACAGG